ATTGGCACCAGAAATTGTGTGTCTCTTCTAGCACAAGCCTTCTAGGGCGTATTTTCCCCCAGCCTTGTTCCTAGAATTTTCCAGGACTCCCCATGGGGATTAAGGAGACTGGGTATGATCAGCAGTGGTGCCAGTGACCTCCTTTTTGGGGCGCTGTCTCAGGACTAGCACCCACCTGCAGGCACTGAGGCACTGAGCTGTAGATTCTGCCCAGTGTGGAGAGGCTCTGCTTCTGCTTGTGGGCTCCTTCCCCAGGCCAGTGCTGAGTGTGGCGCTGCCCCAAGAGTCTCCACCAGGGAAGGGTTGGGTAGACTCCCCCTGGATCCTGGCTCTGCCCCTGCTTGTCACTGTGTCTTCCTGGAATGGGCTGTGGGGACCTGTGCTCTGGTGCTGAGACTCTGTGCCATTTGCTCTCTGCATGGCCCAGGCCACACAGCCAGCCCTCTCTGTGCTTCAGTTTTCTTACCTGGGGTGAAAGTTATGAGATCCCGTCTGTCCTGTGATGTGGCCAGTGCTGTGCCTGACACGCCTCACCCCAAGAGTCCTGTGTCTGCAGCAGCTCGGATGCCCACATCTCAGGGTACCTGGAGGGAATGCTGGCTGAGCCCAGGAGTCCTCGCGTCTTGCCTCAGCCCTGAGCTCTGAGCAGCTTCTTTCTTCCCAATCCTGGGCCACTGAGCTCGGGTAAGGGGGCTCGAAGCTGCTCGTTGCTTTCATCTCTGCTTTCTGCTTTCCCAGCTGACGAGCCATTCTCAGGGAGCCTTTACCGGTCCATCTGCCTACATTGTTATAATCAAGAGAGATCATATGATTTTGCAGTCAAAGGATTATAACAAAGGCTGTGATCTTCTGGTGAGCTGCAGAAATACCTCCAAGCTGGAGAGGCGGATCCAGCGTGACTTCGACATTCCTACGCTGTGCCAGGCTGTGTGAGTGGCTCTTCATGTACAAAGACCTTTCACAGCATGAATACGACAGCCCCATGAAGTGGGTGCATCACCTTCACCAGAGAGCAAACCACAGAGGCCCAGCCCCTCACTGAGGCCCCACCCAGTATCCACGCAGGGCGGATTCAGACCTGGGCAGCCGGACCTCACTGGGGCTCAGCATCTCCAGTCGCAGCCAGGGCCTGAGTGTAAAGTCCTGTCCTGGAAATGAGCACAACCCTGATTAAGCTAATAGCTGACTTGGCTTTGATGTATTTTGATCTTATTATTTTTATGTTAGGAGCCTCTAAATAACCATCATTTCGATAGCACCCCAATTAGCAGGCCATTCACAGTGATTGGAGATTGACTTGCATCGGGCCTCTCCATTAGTGCCTGGGAGAGGTTTCCAGCCCTAATTGCCCACCTTGTCTGCTGGGGCTGGAGGCTGAGGAGCTTGCATGGGCAGGGTGGCCATGAGGACAGGTCCGTGGTGCCCACCTCCACAGGAGGCTGTTGGCTGCGGAGTGAGGTCACCCTCTGTTGTAACTACTATCTTGGGATCTTAGACATTACTTGGGTGGGGACATTGATGGGGAGGTGGGGCAGGAAACTGGCATCTACTTAGCATGTATCTTGTGCCCAGCACAGGGTCGGCCCTTGTGGTCCTCAAAGCTCCACTGGCTAAAGATTCTTATCCTCATTTAATAAACACCTGAGGCTCAGGAAGGGGACAGGCCCATGATCACATGGCTGCTGCCTGAGGAACCCAGAGCTGCTTCTGCTGTCTGCGGCCCCAAGCCCAGCTTGGAAGCTGGCGTCTCTGGCTGCAGCAGGGCTGGCGCAGGTGACCAGTCGGCTACTTGTCTCTTCCCTGAGCACGTTCCTGCTGCCTGGCCTGGTGTTGCCATCCTGCACCCATCACACTGCTCTCCCCCTCTCTGCTGGTCTAAACCTTTCTCTCCCTTTGAGGCCCCGATGCAAACCCCATGTGTTCACCTTCCTTTGGGTCCCAGGGAGCTTCCTCTCTCCTTTCTCACTGGCTGAATTGTGGGGTCTGTGTCCTTGGTAGATCAGAGGTGAGACCTCTGGTCATCCTGCCTTTGTCCCCTCCCCACCAGTGCTTGGCGCAGGGGTCTGCAAACGGGTGTGCGGAGCGTGTGTATGAAACAGGCAGGGGGAAGGAACAGTGTGTGGGAGGGGTGGGAGATGTGCCCAGGTGGGGAAACGGAAGCTTGGGAAGTTCAGCGACTATAGGATCAGTGTATGGAGTGGGGACAGGGCTTGCCGTCCGAAGCCAAGTGGTGACCTGGGAGGGAGTGGGCGGGGCAGGCAGCCCAGGGCTGGCACCCAATGATGGCCACAGTGAGGGCATTTTCTCTGAGGTCCTGGGCTGGGGCCGGAGCTGGATTGCTTGATGCCCCAGTGATGTACAGTTTATTTTTGTAAGCTTACTTATGTAAAGTTATAAGTGCAATATATTGTCACTAAAGAGGGGATTTGCCAGGAAGAAAGAGAATCCATCCATCACAGCACCTTAGCTTTTGGTGTTTCTTTTTGCCTTTTTCGTAGGCGTGCTCTTTACCTAGGAGTAACCAGGTGAGCCTACAGTTCCCTGTCCTGGTTCTGTCACTTCGCCATGTCTCAGAAGCTCTTTTAGCCAGGTGACATCTCTGTCAGTTGCGTGGCCCCATAACTTGATATCTGGGAAATGGGTGCACTGCCGCCCATGCCACGCGACGTCACGAGGATCATGTGAATTCCTGTGTGCAAAGTGCTCCACAGGTCATCTGCACAGAGAAATTCTCACAGAATGGTGTCTGCTCTTACATGGCTTCATACTTACACATTATCGGAGGATTACTGTCCTTTGCTAAAGAAATTATCGGTTCACGACGTGAAATTTCAGCAACGCGGAAAAGAAGGGATACCACTCCTAGGCTCTTCCAAAATGCAATCACTTTTGACATTGTGCAGTCTTTGCCTCCACTTTCCTCTCATGCCTGCTGCTTTCTTTACTCGATATTGTAATATGTAGAATTGTGCATTGTTTTCACATGACTTCAGGACAGGCACTTTCCTGTTGCTGCAGTGTCTTTGTGAACAGTTTTAAAGGCTGCTTATGTTTTTAGCAAACGGAGCTCGTTCCTGGCAATCACCTATCTGTGCCTTTTAGATTGTTAGCAATGTTTCAAGAGTATGGATAAGTGTGCTTTGAATGTTTTTGGATCTAAAGCCATATCCATAGTTTGGATAGGTACCTGAAGTGCAGTTATTGGACAGAGCAAGGAAACCATCCTGGCTTATGGTATTTTTGCACCAGTCTTTACTGACTGCCATGTGGCGAACACCGTGTGTGTCTGGGGAAGGGTGGTGAGCAGACCGGGCATGGCCCTTGCCCCTGGAGAGACAGAGTAGGGGGATTATGGGGAGCAGAGGGAGCACTGGACAAGGGACCGTAGCCAGTCTGAGTCTGACACACGAGTGAGTGTGAGGTTCAAGAGGCAACAGAAAATATGGCAGGTGCCAGGGGCCAAAAGTTGGGCAGTTGGTTGGGGCAGTGAGCAGGGCCGTGTGAGCAGCAAGGCTGCACATTTTGGGCGCCTGCAGGATGCTCTAAGGGCTTGATTCTATGCCCAGGGCTTTGGGAGCCACCGGAGGACTTTGAGCAGGCACACGACATGCCTGGGCTTCTGTCTGGAAGAGAACTCCGCGTGTAAAGCCTGGTGAGAGGGGCTGGTGCCCTTGGGTGGTTGTGTGACTCCCCCGAGGGACTTCAGGGGTCTCTTGTTTCACACCCCAGCCGTCATGCGTGGAGGCTGGAGATCAGCAGGGAGAACTGGGGGCATTTGAATCCTTGTTCTGTGGGTGTCCTCGGGTGGGGAGCAGCTGTTTGATACCTGGGGATGGTCTTTCCCCTCCTGAACTACCACTACCTGGCTCTTTGGGTGCTTCCCCTGCCCTTGGGCTCCTTCTCCCATCCTTGTCTGAAACCCAGGGGCTCTCACCGAAAGGACCAACTGTCAAAGCTGATCAAAAGCCGGTGGCGGCAGCAGGTGGCTGCTGACAGTCCCAGGCCGTGCTCTGAAGCTGCAGCTGCTTCCCCACATTCTTGCTGTCACATGAGCATTATGAATCCATGTTGCTCAGAACTATTCAGAAATAGTCTGGTATTGCGAGGTTTATCTTTCTGTTGATGGGTCTGATGTCCCCAGAAGGTGTAATGTGGCTGACACGGGCGCCCTCGTGGTTACGGATGACTTCAGAAGGCCAGTGAGCCCCCTGCCCCCCTGGGAAAGGCTGCTGGCGCCTCACTGCTGCTCCTCCTCTGGGCCAAGCCCGTGACGGCCCTCAATAGGGAGCATCTCCCTTTGTTACTGTCAAGTGGCATTCGAATCACCCTGGGCTTCTAGAGCCAACTGCTTCACCCTGGGCTTGACCCGGTGTTTCTATGATATGAGTCAAGTGGATGTGCCCAGAAGATGCAGGGTTCGGTCTCTTTTTTTTTTTTTTTTTTTTTTTAACCAGCAACCTGGGTCCTCTGGGATAGGTGTCTCCCTGACTTTCTGATATAATTCATTCCCTTCAATCCCAATCAGTTTTCAGTTCAGCCAACAATGGAAGAACACACAGTATTTTCCTGTCCTGGGCTTGGCCTTGGGGAAACACAGATAAAAAAATGAGTTCTCGGCTCTCAAGGGGCTCCCAGCCCAGGGAGGAGACGGGATGGCTAATTTAGCAACACTGGTGGGTGTCTCAAGCAGCTGTGGGCTAGGTCCCTATTCTGCCACCCCTCCTCGAGTAGCCTAGGGCAAAAAATTTTGCCTCTTCTGACCTTTGTTTTCGGATCTGTTGAATGGGTACAAGAACGTCCAGCTGGCAGGATCACTGAGGGCACCGTAAGACTGTGCATGTGAGAGCTGCTGGCCTGGCCTGGGATGGGTCTTGGTCCCTGGAGGGAGGCAGCATTTCTTGGGGCCCCAGGCATGAGCTGCCAAGTGTGGGCTGTATGAGTTGAAGCCAGTACAGCATCACTCCCATGCTGACCCCTTCCTCTCTCTCACTTCTTTCCAGCCTGTGATCTCATGACCCAGGGGATTTTGGCTTTGGTCACGTCTACCGGCTGTGCATCCGCCAACGCCCTGCAGTCCCTCACAGACGCGATGCACATCCCACACCTCTTTGTCCAGCGCAACCCAGGAGGGTCACCACGCACTGCCTGCCACCTGAACCCTAGTCCTGACGGTGAGGCCTACACGCTGGCCTCGAGACCGCCTGTGCGCCTCAATGACGTCATGCTCAGGCTGGTGACAGAGCTGCGCTGGCAGAAGTTCGTCATGTTCTACGACAGTGAATACGGTGAGTTGTACAGGCAGGGGCTGCTCTGGGCTCCAACGGAGGCCCAGCTGGGTGCTGGGCAACCTACCTACTGGGCTGTTGTGCATGGCAGGCAGCCAGGCACCTCGGAGCAGGCGCAGAGGCGTGGAAGGCGGTGGTGGTCTGTGCTGAGCAGGTCTCGGGTGGCAGGGCCCAACCTTGAGCTTTGTGAGTGGGGAGGAGCTGTGAAAACAGATCCATAGACAGGCACTAAAGTTGCCTAGCAACACACCTTATCCTGACAGCCGAAATTTGAATCATCTTAGAGTTTTCAATAAAATATTAATAACCTGCTGGCAGGAATCTGAAGGGCTGCATGCAGGCGGTAGTGCACGCCAGCTAGCCTGGGTCCTCCCGGAAGCCTCCCTCAGAGATCGCCCATCACACTGGAGGGTCGCCCAGCCTTCCCAGCTCCTCCCTCCCTCCACCCTCATCTGCCCTTCGTTTCAGGGTCTTGGGCAAATGTCAGGGGGAAGGACACCCTGAGTGTCATGGAGCCAGGCTGGGGTTGTGTGGGTCTGGGACAATGGGCGTGGCTGGACATGGCTTCTTTGAATACATGCCATATGAAAAAAATCAGTTTGCTTGTTAGAAAACCAGAAAAATGAGTTTTGGAGAAATAGCTTCAGGTTTTCTTATGGCTGCTCTGTGAAAACAGGCAGGTCCTAGTTCTAAGATAAGACAGTTTCCATGCTGCATCCTTTTTAAAATTTATTTTGAGATAATTGAGATTCACATACAATTATAAAAAATAATACAGGGAGAGCCCATGTGGCTTCACCCAGGTCCCCACGGCAGCATCGTGTACAACTGTCACAGTATCATGGGCAGGGCTGGACATCGATGCTGCCCACGGACCTTGCTCATATTCCCACTTCAAATGCAGTCGGTGTGTGCACTTACCTCTGCAGTTTTTATCTTGTGTAGATTCACCTGACCCCACAGTCGGGATAGAGCAGTTTCCTGTGAGGACCCTCAGTTCCCTTTTCATGGCCACGGCCACCCACGTTATGTGTCTCTAAAGGGTATGGAGGACTGGTGAGGGTTGGCAGCCCCATAGCTGGGGCCAGGATGGAATGAGTGGACCCTGAAAAGTCCTGCTTTGTTTCTTGGTGAAATAATTCCTTTGCCAAGAATGTAACTAAGAAGAGAAGCCAGCATATGTTTGCATTTGCTTAAATACTCTGCTGCTCTGAGACTGAGTGTTGTCCTCAGCTCTTGAGCAAATATGCTGTTTGGAGCTTCCAGGAGGAATTGAAAGAGCAGTCACTGTGCTGAAATAAAGATGAGGTGGTGATGGGCACAGGGTGGCCCAAGACTCCGGGCGCTTGAACTGGACTCTGTCTAGGACCTGGCCTCCCTCCCACCCACCTTAATCTCTGGCCCTGGGGAGGATTTGGAGATGAACACACAGCCCCGAGGAGCCCACAGGGCATCTCTCAGGGGACCAGCCTTCCTCTGAGAACCCTTTGAGTTGGTGGCTCAACCCCGATGTCGGGTCTGCTCTGAGGCTGGGCTGTGTGGGTAGGTGTGGACACGACCAGGGCTGGAGGATGCTGGGGTCCACTGTCTGCAGGCCCTTCCCACCTCACTTCTGCTGGCACCTTTGTTCCCCTTCTACTCTGACCTATAGAAACTCTTCACACCCTGGTTCTCCCTCAAGCTTCGAGGTGGTTTTGCTGGGAACCTCAGCCACAGGAGGTAGGGATCAGCCCTCCAGTCTGCCCACCTGTCTGGGCTCCTGTAATTCTTGCAGACTGAGGACACCTGATGGCACCTGTGCAAACTCTGTGTTTCCTTCTTGTTATGTCCCTGACTCCCACTCAGCTCTGGCCTTTATCAGTAATTCCATCATGCTGCAGGGTGACCAATAGCTTTCCTCTGGTGGACCGCCGCAGGCAGGGGGTCGACTTGAAGGCCGCGTTGGGGAGAGTTCTGAGGCTGTATGTGGGAGTAATGGAAAGTGTGTGGCTGCTCTGTGGGCTGCCCTGGCGAGGGACAGGGACTGGCAGCAGCCCACCACGTGTGCTGATTCCCATCTAGAAGGTGGGTGGCCTGCAAGTGCTGACATACATTCGAACGTCGCTGTCCAGGGTGCTGACCCCTTCAGCCTAAGACTTTCTGGAGGGCAGGGCTCTTTCATTGGATTCTGTGCAGGGCCTCCTGCCTTCGCCTGTCCTGGCCATTGGCCCCCTGATTTGACAACCTCGGAGGCCAAGATTTTGCCTCAAGATGTTCTCTGTAAAACTTTAACCACGTGACTATCACTGCTTGTCCTGGCTCTGCCCCTCATGCACAGCCCAGCCTCTGGCCATTTTTCAAGCCTTGTGTTAGGTGAGCCCAGAGGTGAGAGCCCACGTGCTGTTGATGCAGCACATTTGGCCTCAAGAGTGAAGTGTGTGGGTGCTCCCTCGGCATGGCCGGCATTGGCCTGTCTGAGGGCGTTGGGTGGATTTACATTGCTGATATGCCCATGACAAATGGGGCCTCCAGAACTCCTCAGGGCCCCCAACACCCCACCACTGCAACACTAGCTGCAGATTAGCCCAGTTAAAGTAAAATTAACAGCAAAGTCTGCTTTATTCCTTCCAAAGTCAAACACAAGTGGTTTGAGGATAGAGCAACTTTTTTTGGATGCTGATCTGCAAGAGTCTTTACATATATTATTTCACTTAAGCCATTTGATAGCACTCTGCAGTGGGTTACTGCTGCCGATTACAGATGAGGAACGCATATCTCAGAGAGTGTTTGGACTGTAATGCCCATGCCCTTAGTCAGGCAGTATCCCATTTCTGCGATCTGGGCTTGCTAAGCCCAGCTCCCTTCTTCTGCTCCCAGCCAGGCAGAGCTGATGCTAGGAAGGGGGGTGCAGTTTGGAATAGACTTGGCATGCCCTTGGATGGTGAGGTTGGCCACTTCAGTGAATATCCTACGTAAGGTCCCAGCCTTGCTGGGTGAGGCCTGATTCTTCCTAACCTGTGCCTCAGTCTTCCTTTCAGCCCGGGAATGTCCTGTCCTGGGTGGAGCGTGAGGACTGGGCATTTGACTCAGTAATCAAAGGCCAGAGAAGCAAAAGCACTGGGCCCTGAGGCAGAACTTGGCAGAGGAGTGAGAGAGGAGCTTATATATATATGGTTGACAGAGTGCAAGATGTGCCATTTAGTAAAATTACATTAAATACTTGTATGCTTGTTGTGACAGTGAAAGGAAAAATAAAAGAGAAGCTGGCATTTGGGAGAGAAAATCTGTAACATTAAAATACCAAAAGTTTGGATCTAGCAGAATAGAACTTTTATTCTTGCACTTCAAATTCTGGGATATTCCTTTGTGTGTTGGTGGGGGCTGTGCTCGGAGCTGCAGCCTCACTTTCTCCCCAGGGCATATATGTGGATGAGTGGTGGGGCTGTCCTGGGATTTTAGAAATCATCAACTCATTCATTCAACAAATATTCACCGAGTTCCTACCATGTACAATTATTTTGCTACACACTCATTTTAGATGAAGAAACAGGCAGGTGGAGTAACTTGGCTAAAGTTGCACAGAGCTGGGCCGTGAAGTCAGCACCCCAGGGCTCTTTCCTCTGTAGCATCTCCACCCCTGCACTGGGCCAGCTGGGATGCCTGGGATGGGTTGGCTGCTGGAATCCCACAGAAGCACAAGCTGTGGGCTCTGCATGGGTGGCCATTGTCTGTTGCACTAGTTTTAAAATTATTTTAAAATCTTCAAAGTTGCACATGATTATAATGTATATGTTAAGTTAGAAGAATGATAATAAAGTGAACTTCCATGAACCCATACCAATTTGAAAAATGCAAAGGAGCCCTACCCAGGGGACAACCGCTATCCTGATTGTGTGCTCACCAGTTCCTTGCTTTTCTTTATAGTTGATCCTGTAAAGAAATACCCAAATACACATTGCTTAGGTTGGCCTGTTTATGAACCATAAACACATGGAATAACTTTTCTGTATGCTTTTGTGATTGCTATTGTCACTCACTGTTAGGATTTTGAGATCCACTCATGTGATGAGGTGGGTATATTCAATCATTTTTATTGTTGCGTAGTATCGTGTGATTTATTACCTGTTTTATTGTTTTTTGTTTTAAATATATCTTTATTGATTTCAGAGAGAGGAAAGGAGAGAGAGAGAGGGAGATAGAAACATCAATGATGAGAGAGTCATTGATCAAGCCCGCAACCCAGGCATGTGCCCTGACCGGGAATCGAACCCCGACCACCTGGATCCTAGGTTGACGCTCAACCGCTGAGCCACGCCCTGCCTGGCATTACCTGTTTTATTGTTATGGGCATTTGGGTTGTTTCCAGACATTTGCTATTACAAATAATGTTAATAAGAACGTTCTTGTATTTGTCTTCTGCTGTCCTGTGTAAGAGCTTTGAAGGGCCTCTCCCGAGAAGCAGGATTGCTGGACTTAGGGTCTGTGCACATTTCACTTTCTCAGGCTGTTCCAGGTTGTTTTCCGTTCCTGCTCATTTCCACTGCCGCCTGCAGTGTGCGAGAGTCTCAAAGCTCCCGACCTCGCCAACACCTGGTAGTGTTTTAATTTTAAGATTTTCGTATGAAAGTGATATGTTACCATGACTTTAATGTACATTTTCCTGATAACAGATGGGCTGAATTTCTTTTCATGTCTTTACGTGCTGTTTTTGTTTTGTCTCCTATGAAATGCCTATTTATTGTTCTTAAATTTTAACCTATTTTAAAAATTGAGTCTTTTCTTTTGTAAGTTAGGTGGGGCAAATATTTTCTTTCAGTTAGCTGTCTTTTTAAAAAAAAGATTTTAAATTGATTTTTAGAAAGAGAGGAAGGAAGAAGGAGAGAGAGAAACATCCACCAGAGAGCAAAACCTCAGTCAGCTGCCTCCTGCACGACCCTTGCCGGGGATCAAGCACACAGCCTGGGCATGTGCCCTGGTCGGGAACTGAACCCGCGGCCTTGTGGTGCACAGACGATGCCCAG